ATGGGTGAGTAGGTTGGTGAGATGGGTGGGTGGGTGAGATGAAAGGGGGTGGAGATGGACAGGTAGTGGGAGTCAGTAGACGGAAGGATGGGGATACATAGGGAATGTGAGGGAGGTGGACAGGTGGGTGGGTGGGGGATGGGCAAGAGAGCGACAAGAGGATGATGGATGGATGGATAAGTGGGTAGGTAGATAGATGCATTACAGAGAGATAAGTGGAGACATAAATTCATTTAATGAATATTTATTGAGTGTTCACCTTATGCCTGATGCTGGGAAACACTGTGACACCAAGACAGATGAGGCATTATCTCCACTTACTCAAAAGAAAACTTCAACTCTGAGAAGGGACAGATCACCCCCCACCCCAGGTGGGTTACGCGACCTTCCTGGCAGAACCAAGAACTGAGCCAGACCAAGGGCATTCAGGCACTATGGCAGAGGGTGGGGACTTTGGGGACAGGATGACTTTGTGGCTCATCCCACGGGCTGGCCCTTTCCTCTTACACACTGGGAGGCCTCTCCTGCCTTCCTCTATCTCAGGTCGGTCAGGGGCACCATTTTTCTGGGACTTCCCCAGGACGGCTCCTGCCGAGGCTAGTTTAGGGGACTGCCACCTGACACCATTCAGCAGGGCCTGGGGAGGCTGCTGAGTCATTCCAAGGTCCCCTTGGGGAGGAAGGAGGGCAGCCAGCCTGCACTGTGACTTTTATACCCTGGTTCCTCTGAGTCCTGGGGCTCAGGGAGCCCCTCCTGGTCACCACAGGAATTAATAGTCTGTCCTTTGATGACCCAGCCAGACCTGCATGCCCTAAACACCCTTCCCACAAGGCAGAGTGGGCCAAGGCTAAGGGGTAGTGATGCAAAGTGGAGGCAGCAGATTCTAGAAAGCCTGTGTGTGTGTGTGTGTGTGTGCATGTGTGTGTGGTGTGTGTGTGTGTGTGTGCATATTTGGGAAGGCAGAGTATTTGCATGGCCACATAAATATATTTGAGCTTGAGCGAGGTGTGTTTTGGTGGAACCCAGGGATTGACCAGGAGCCTCCCAGGCTCTGAAGGGCTAGATAAGCTCAGCTTGGTCTCTTGATTTGACGGCCTTGGAAGTCTTGGGCTTGCTTTTCTGCACATAACCTGGTCCAGACCTGAAACTCAAGCTCTTCCTCATTTTTTTTCTTTTTTGAGTTGGGGTCTCATCCTGTGGCCCGACTGGAGAGCAGTGGGCACAGTCATGGCTCACCACATGTCTCTACTTCCTAGGCTCAGGCAATCCTTCACCTCAGCCTCCCAAGTAGCTGGGACCTCAGGCATGCACCACCATGCTTGCCTAATTTTTTTTTTTTGAGTTGGAGTCTCACTCTGTCGCCTAGACTGGAGTGCAGTGGCCGCTTCTGGCTACCACAGCCTCGACCTGCTGGGCTCCGGCGGTCCTTCCGCCTCAGCCTTCCAAGTAGCCG